CTCCTTCTTTGCACATTTACTGTAAAGCTGGGGCTAATGAGAAGTTCTTTGGGAATTTTTCCCTTTTAATGCTTCAATAATCCTTCTCAAGCAATCTTTGCATCAAAAGTTTATCGAATGCCAATTTAGGATGGAATCATGAAGAAACTATAAAATAAAAGCTGATTTTGGACCTAGTTTGTTGCAGATTTCGTCCACTTAACAGAAATAATCTAAACCAAACATTCATGCAGGACAATTTGTGTCATATGTAATTTACATGGCAAATTTGGAAAGCATCGTATGAAAAACCAAGGAGTTATGGCTGAAAAAAGGGCATTTTGAATAGTTTTTCCTGTTTTTTTTTGTTATGCACAGGGAAATGAGCAGGACTAAAACTACATTATCTTATTTCTTGCATGATGGAAATTTTTTTGTGACATGTTTGAAGAAAATTGGATAAAGAATGAGGAAGTTATTAAAGTTTTTATTTTAAGTAATATGAAAAACCTCCCCCCCCCAATTTTTTATGTGAAGCCAATGTTTCAGGAAAACTATCAAGCATTCTACATAAACCTAGTAATATGAGCTGATGTTTTGCATTAAGTGCAAAGGACATCAGCTCCCAGTATAAATTTTGTTCACGTGTAACTTTGCCTTGGTTTTTGCAAAAAGTTGACCCACCTTCACTTTTATCGATTTTTCTGACAAGCCAAAGGTGGGTGGGTGGTGTTGTCACTGGAGATTAAAAAGTTGGTCTTGACCTATCTTGGTAAATTTGCAACATGTGTGTACAATTCCATTGAAATCAGTCGAGAAATGTGGATGTGCATAAATAGCACACACACACACACACACACACCCTTCTGTTTTATAAATATTGTCAGGGTACAAGAAAAATACATTCTTCTGTTTAGTCCACAAATTTTAACAATGTGATAAACCCATTGTTCTCTTTGCATTTTTAGTACATAACAAAGTAAGTACATTACTTAGAAAAGTTTCTTCAAATCAGAAAATATCTGATGAATAAGGCTGATCTCTTGCTTAATGTTTTATTAAACTACTCCAGATATGATTTTTTTCCTTTGGGAGTGGGCTGTGATCAATCTGTCTGTTTGTTTTTTTTATATGCAATGTAACAAAGATTAATTGCAAATGCTGTAATTGTAAATTATATGTATTAAGTTGTATGTAAGGAAGAAAACTATATGAATGGTGCTTTTATTAAATAAATGCCAATCAAAATAGTTTCCTTTTAATGTACTTATTCCAACTGCCCATTGAAAAAAGTGAAAAGCTTAAATAATATACTTTCCAGAACAATCTCTGACTTGTTGCTTTGGGCCAGTACTCTTCTGGCTAGTGATAAAGGCAATTAACTCTTTTTGCTTCATGATGATGATAAAGGAGGAGGCAGGTGCAACCAGATTTTTTTTTTTTTTTTTTTTTTTTTTTCAAATCTTCAAGTTGACATTATAAACTTGTTACTTTATTGGAGGAATACTTGAAGATGCAGTGATAACCGTTGACGAACGGTTATTGAAGATGTCCCTGATAACTGTTGACAGGCGGTTATTGAAGATGCTACCTCCACTGTTTGGTTAGAGAAATTGATCTAATCTAATCTCATTTAATTAAAGTTGTAACAGTATAAACTGTCAAATTTTTTTTTAAAAAATCCACTTTTTTTTTTTTTTAATATATTCTATTATTGTTCTCTTTACTGTTTTTGTTGTCAGCATAGCATAAGGTTAAGAAATAAATTGTTTTTCTTTTTTCTATTTGCAGTATATGAGTGAAAAGATTGGTGGAGCCAAAGGAACAGAGCTTGATGATGAGTTTGTTGAAATGGAAAGGGTAAGTTTAATTTCATTTATTAACATTTAATGGTTTTTATTTTTCTGTTCCTGACTCTCAAGCAACTCCAATAGAAAAATAGTCAAATTACTTAGACAATTATTTTCTATCAACTGATGATTTTCTATGTAAGTTTATTTTTACTTTATATAATGTCACTGAATATCATAAAGATATTACATGTAATTTATTGAAAGTACAGTTAATAATTTCATCCTCCTAGAATTCTTATCTTTCTCAGTAGAAAACTTTTAGTGCCTTTTGCAGTTTTTCAAGGAACTGATTTTTTTTTTTTCATTTTTTTTCATTAAGAGAATTCTGTAAAGACTGAATTAAAGGGTAACCTGAAGCCGCATTATTTGCAAAATATGCTGGATAAACAAAAACTTCTCAACAAAGCTCTAATAATTTTTACTTGGTCAGCAAAGAAATGTGCAATCTGTTATCTTGATAAAATAATATGCTTTTTCTACTAATTGATGATTTTTAGCAATTGCCACTTACACTTGGTCTGATTGGGTGCATTACATGTTTGAATTGTTCATTTAGTTTTCATAGAACTGTTGGCCATTTTGTACTGCCGTTGTAAATAATAAACCTTTTTCAAATATTATAACAGCCCTCTTGCATAATTTTTCACTTTTAATATAATGAACTTTATACTTTTTACTTGCCATTGAAGGTTTGGATAAGTAATTTAAAAAACAAGCAGTAATGCTGCTGATGTCATGGCAGGTTTTAATTTGCAGCATTATAGCCATCAGTCTCTTAACAGTCTTTGGAAACTACTATACAACATTATAATTAACCAAAAATACTTATATTACTGTTAGCATGAAAATTTAATATATATATATATATATATATATATATATATATATATATATATATATATATATATATATATATATATAATTTATTTGAACAATTTTTTGTTAAATTCAACCAACAAGCTCTGTTTAACTTTTTATTTGTATATTTCCAATTATCAATAAAATTGGAGATAAACTATCCAAAGTTCATATTTGTCCAAGTACTTTTGATCATCAGTCATTATCAAGAACTGGATGCTGTCAATATGGTAGAAAAAGATTTTATTTTTGAATGTTATGATTCAAATTTAATTCTAATAATGTGTATTGTGTAAATGACTTGTTAAAATAGCTTCACAGAGCTTGACTACATTGGAAAATGTTGTATCAAATATTTTGTACATATCATTTTATATTATGGAGGGCTGCATTATTGTCGGCTGTGTGTAAAATGGGCCTCACCACAATAATAACAGGAGTTTCACAACAGCAATATGAATAACAAAAACTAGCTTAAATTTTAATACATTTATTATTATTAATGAGATTTACACATCTTAGATATCTTTTGCAATCAGAAGAAATTCTTGACAAATATCATGAGCCATAATGAAGTGCAGAAATATCAGATGTTTATTGTTAATTGGAGTACACACTGGCACCTAGATCCCTACATCAGTTTACACTACTGACATCAGCACTGTGGGATATGGTGATTCAGATGTCTAGTAGTACATAATGTGATATGTTCGTTTTTGTAATGAGTGAGTTTCCTGAGAATTGGGATTTGCTATTACATATAAATGGTTTCTGTCTTTCTTTCTGTTTGGAATAGAGTACTATTTTGTGCAACATGTAACCAAAAAATACCAACATTTTTTGAATATACATTTAAAAAATTTAATATTTTTATTCTTGCACACCACATAAAATCATCAGGCATGCCACCTCTGTTTTATATGCATATTAAATATTTTATATACATTTTAATATACCTATTTAATGTAGGTTGTTTCTTCTGTATAATAATGTTAATAATAAATAATAGCTTAGAGTATTTTGAGTTTTTCCTTGCATTGTAGGTATTTTGGTATTCTCTACTGATTGTCATAGATTAATAGTTGTATTTTGGTTGTTTGCACCGAATGGATCGAGATCTGCATGAACTGCACAAAGTTTTGAAAAATGACAAGTTAATGTATGAGAATGTGAACAGAACAAAAACATGGAAAGTTTATCTACAATTTTGATTTGGATGCATAACAGTTGATTAAAAAATTGGGAAAATGTTATAAAAAAAAAAAATGAAACGGACATACTGTATTGGTTAAATTTAACAAAATTTGTTTAAATATATAATTATTTAAAATTTGTTCTATTTGTTGCAGTTAGTGTTTTCGATATAAACAGTGTGATTGACAACTTCACACTTTAAGCAATCATTAGATATATATATATATATATATATATATATATATATATATATATATATATATATATATATATAAAATGTGTGTGTAATCCATCATTCAGACAACATTTGACTGAAGTGTGTCTAGCCATTTTAATAACTTGAAAACCATCTGCTCAGATTGGTAACAAATCAGAGGACCTTAATGCACATGTGTGAAAACGCTGCAGTTGGTTACTCAGTTTGCAGTGATGTGCCCTTGAGCAACCATTATATTTACAGTAAATATTCATTAATTTTTGTTTTGCTTGTCTGTAAAAAAAAATATTTACATGATTAAGACTTTTGGAGATGATTGAATGAGTGACATCCAATTAAAATTTTGGTATTAATGCTTTGAACTAGGCTTGGAATCTATTTCTGGCAAGTCCTTAACAAGCAGACCACTGTAAGACATTGAATGCACATGGGCTGCAGTCAAAGGGAATAAACAATTGGCAGTGTGAGAATTAGACCTTGGAATTCCATTGAATGTTCTGACAATATAAAGTCATTTAAATATAGTGACTGCACATTTTTCAGGTCTCATGCAGAGTCTTTTGGCAGCTCTAGACTTTGCTCTCTACAACTTCCCCAAAGGTAAAATTACTGTTGATAGATATCAGACCATGGGTGAGATTAAGGAAAATGCTGTAAAGTGGCTGAGGTTAATTGCTAAAGACAATTTTGCAGATGTTTTCAAAAGTGGAAGGGACAATGGAATAAGTGTGAGATGTTATTTTCCTAGTTAGGTTAATTTTTTCATTAATATTAAATGGCAGGATTATTTCTTGACAGATCTTACCATGTGTCTTTGTTTTATATGTAAAGTGTGGGAACAAGAGGGGGTACTTTCTGTCACATGTAATTCTACTTTGCTGTTTGGTTAGTATAAAGTTTATGGCCATATCATACTGAAATGCCGGTTCCTGCATGATCACCAAAGTTAAGCAATGTTGAGCCTGTTCAGTATCTAGATGGATGACCACTTGGGAATACCAGGTGTTGTAAGCTTGGATGTGTGGGTGGTTTAATGGGTAATGGCTCAGGATTGTTAGTTGGAGAGCAGAGTTACAATTCCAGCTAGGTTTGTTATATTCATTTATATAGGGGAAGGTATGAATCTACTTCTCCCCCCCAGCAATAGGTTCATTAGTATGACTTGTATCATTAAATCATTATTTTTCTCCTTCCTTCCAAGAAAAAAATTCTTACAATCTAAGAATATTTTCTTGCTTTAAATAACCTGCAAAGGGTTAAACTGTAGAAAATGAATCAATCATTAGATCAATATATTTAGTGGGAGTTAAAAGCATTTTACATTGGTATTATTTTAATAAAAAAAATAAATGAATATTAATGTTAGAAGTCTCTGAAACATTAGCTTCACTCTGGTAGTTTTAGTTATGCATGCTTTAAGGTTTTAAATATATATGAAACACTTATATTTTGACCTGTTTATTATACAGTTCCAGTTTAATCTCAGGGCCACACTTCTTCAACGCACATAAACATTGTACTACTTTGAAATGTTTTATATATCAAGTATTTCTTTGCCATAACTTTACATGAAAATTAATTAAAACTTAATGTAATCATATATATTCACATCTGATTCAAAATAGCTTTATTTTGACTGTTTTAAAATATGTGCCTCATGTTGCAGGAGACTTGGCATTAAAAAAGTATGCAAGGAAAACTAATTTATATTGGGTATCATGTGTTTCGGTTGATATTTTCAATAAGCAGGACTTATGACATATTTGTGAAAAATGAAAATGTACAAAATTATAGAAAAAAATGCTTTGAATTGTTATCAGTTTTTATTTGGAGAATAAATATCGTATGATGAAATTTTTTTTTTCTCATTTTGAAAACCATTTTCCTTTTGAGACAAAAAATATTTTAGTTTCACATGCTGGTATTAAATATTTGATTTGTTGAAGCTATATTCAATGGTAAATTTTTATGCTACTTGAAAAAGATGAAATAAGTATATGGTAATTTAGGTATTTTATAAGAATTCTTTCAGTATATGTGGACAGTAAATAAATTTGTAGATTGGCACAGTATTATTTGAATTTTAATCTGAAATATTTATTGTATGCAATGTTTGATCTATATGATTAATGGAGGTGTTGAATTAAATATATATGCATTGGCAATGATAATTGATGTTGTGTGGGCCAAATCCCTTTTCTTTACTCTGTTGTGCTATACAGTTGTTTCTTTCTTTGAAAGATTTGCGTAGGCATTAAAAGGAGATAAATAAAATTGTTGTGATTAAAGCAGTTGTATAGATTTAAGCATTTTGATACTCATTTATTTCATCTATAGCATGTAGGCATTGTGATGCAGTGATAAGCACTATAACATTAAATGAAAGATCATTGATTCAAGTCAGAATGTGAAGGATTAAATAAATTCATAAATATTTAAGAAAATTTAGATTTGTTAAATTCTGTAATTATGCTATTAAAAAATGTCAACATTGCTTCATTGTGATCTAAATGCTATGGCTGTTACCACTTCCAAAGCAAAAAATGGCTTTATTTGAATAACTTAGCAGTTATAAAAATCATGAGCAAAATCTTTGTTTATTTAAAGATTAGATTGGAAATGAATAACAATAGATTATATTTAAAAAAAAATTTGATTCTTAAAACTGAAAATGCAAATAAGTTATTTCCATAAGTTGGCCAAGATATAAAACATACACTGGTGGATATAAAAGATAAAATCACACACACACACACACACACACACACACAAATCATACTTATTATAAAACCCAGGTTGTGTGTGTGTGCGTCTGTACGTTTATATATTGGATCGGATTTCCTACATTTTTTTCAACCGATTTCAACAAAACTTCACAGGACTACGTAAAATTACCTTGCAGTGGTTCTGACAGTGCCAAAAATTAGAAAAACAATTGTTTTTGCACAAAATCAATTTGAAAACGCAATTAAGAGGTAGCGTGAGAATTAAAGGGGGACAACTCATATCGAGTTATACTTATTATAAAACCCAGGTTGTTTGTTTGTGTGTGTTTATATATGGGATCGGATTTCCTACATTTTTCAACCGATTTCAACAAAACTTCACTTTTTTTTGGCAGGTAGTGTTTCTTATTGTCTTGCACGCTTTTTTTTTCTTTATTTTTACATTCAGAATGCTTTAAAAATTCCATTTACAAGACAATTGTTTATAATAAAATTCTATTCAATCGGTAAACTCATAATGATTGAAAACAATGTTTTTGTTTGGGTTTGACCAATTCGTAAAAAAACAAAAAAAACAAATTAAGACATGCGTGTCCGTCAACCTTAAACAAATAATCTTTGTGAATTTTATTTTTCAGTCTTTATGATGGTCGGTACTTGATCTATCTCTTACTGTTACATCCCCGGACAACGCTGGGCTCTACTACTAGTATATATATATATATATATATATATATATATATATATATATATATATATATATATATATATATATATATTATAATGTTGCTGTTTTACATCCAACTGCCCAACTTACAAGTACAAAAAATTCAAATATCTGGGAAGTGTTTTAACAGAGGAGGGAAAGTGCAACACTAAAATCTGAAGCTGCATTGGGATAGCCAAAGATGCATTCCAAAAGTTAAGCAGAGTATTAAGAAGCAGAAAAATTTCATTAAAAACAAAGAAAATCATGCTGAACTGTTATGTGATATCTGTCTGTCCTATATGACAGTGAAAACTGGATATTCTCCTCACAGATGAAGAGGAGACTTGAGCTGGTAGTGGTTCTACAGGAGGATGATGAGGATATGGATCAAACATGTGAACAATGACAAAGTTTTAGAGAAAATGGAAGCAAAAAAGAAGCTTATATTTAGCATCAAGAAGAGATAGTTTAGATTTCTAGGGCACATAATGAGAAAAGAGGGCTTGGAAAATCTTACACTTATAGGACAGATTGAAGGTAAAAGGCACAGAAGAAAACAACCTACTTAGTGAGCTTGAATAAATGGATGGTAGAACAAGGTTTAGGAGAAATAACAAAAAGACAAAATTTGTTGAGCTACAAAGGACAGGAAGTTGTGGAGAGCCTTGATTACCTATGTCCTGAAGAGGCACAGCACATAGAAGAATAGCTTTATACATGAGTAAATATGTTGTACTTTCGAAATATTCAAGTAAATAATGCAGGAAACTCATTGTTTTACAAAGATATTAAATGTATAAGATTTTGAGATGGGTTATTAATATTCTACATTTGTTTTACTATAATCATCATCTTCTGCAGAGTTATGATTAACAAATGACACTTGTGAATTGTTGTTAATCATCACGTGGTTCCATACAATTGTGGTCATGTGCCACACTTGGTTAAGTTTAGCAAATATACTCTCCTCATCTTTGAGTTTTCATTTTTTTTTGTTTTTTAAATGGTCCATTCTCTGACCTTTTGAGTGAAATTTTGCCCTTTGCAGAATCTATTGTTGATCAATTCTGTGTCTTTTGTTGATTTGTAATGTCTTATAATGTCAGTTCAAATGCCTTTTTGAACAATAAAGTAAGTTCTGGAAGTTTCATGCATTTGGAAGGTTTACAAACATTTTCAATTTAGGGTATGCATAAAGTAGTTCTTGTCATACATGATTTCTTGTAATTAGTTTATATTGTATCAATGCTGTTTTATTAGAAACTGAGCCTTATTTCATCTGAACTGATATTAAATCAACATTTTAGAGAATGAACTATGATCTCTACATGTGCAAATGTAAGATATTAGACAAGCTCCAGAATGGTACTGAGCTGAATTACAACAGATCATAAAATATTGTTCACAGTTGACCAGCTAGGAAATGACAGACCTGTTTAATTGCACTCGCCGCACAATATGTCATTTGATTGCAATCAACAAGATCTGTAATTTCTGAAAATCTCTATGAGCCACTATTTAGATGCTTTTACAGTTTTGATTTCTTGGGAGTTCACCTATAAATACCATTATCACAGGTGCTATACATTACTATATGAAACAAAATAGAGCAGACAAGGATGCTGATACAAGGGACATGTATATATCAGAATTACAGAGAAAAGATAGTTTTATTGTTTGTGAGATGTTAAAGGCATTATATATTGGAAACAAAATTATTGCTGAAGTTTACAGTTCACAATTTGGTTGATGCAGTAGTTGAGAAAAATATTTGCAGTTGTGTTTACTGCACATCAATGTCAGACCACTTGTTGCATGGATAATCTGTGAAAACTGTTGTGTCCAAATTGGGTAGTTCTGTTGCACCCACATGGCTTGATGTTTTGTAATTACCACCTTTGTCCACTACTTGGAGAACTTCCTGAATGATCAGGGCTTTCAAAATTGCAACATCATCAAAATAGCACTTGCAAACCTTTGATTTAAAATTTACATCATACTATTGAAAAGGAATCATTGTTTTGTTTGGATGATAAATACCAAGCTACTTTAAGGGATTCTTTTTTTTTTTTTTTTTTTTTCTATTTTGAGGGTTAACAAATTTCTCTTAATTTTACAAAAAGTTTACAATTTTTTACCAACTAATATATATTTTTCTGCTATTTAAGTAGGAGATAACTGGGTTAGGAAAAAACAAATAAAATTCTACTTGTACTGTTTTTCCTCAGTTTTATATTTTCTTATTTTCTTGTATATGTTTTAAAGCTGTAAATGATAGTCTAAACAGAAATCAGCTGAACTGCAGCCATGTTGGCTTTTCCTTATTTAACAGCCCTGGTTAAAATCAATACTGTTATGCATTTTCATTATTTTATTTGTTGGATACAAAAAATTGCTCTTGGCTACAGTTTGTTTTGTCAATGACTACTGCTCTTATTCTCTAGTCTTCTTTGAAGTAAATTGTTCAAAATGTTTCAGAAAATTAGGAAATAATAGTGGTTTCAGCAGTAAAGATAATATATGTAATAATGGCATCGTTTTTGTTATTACTATTATTCTTACTTAGAATAATAAGCA